GTTGTTTATATTTATATATATTGGTGTTGTCCTGCGCCTTGCCGCCTCTATCTCCGCCGAACACCGGTGTATCTGCGGCTAAGCGTCGGCAGACCAATACGGCAGCCTTGGTCTCATCTGTCGTAAGTCACAGGGAAAGATTGCCAGACATGAAGCAAGCAATGACATCACCAAGAGAAGTTTGGCTACAGCTGGGTGTCCAGCACAAAGGGAACCACAGTTGTGCAGACCTGACAACAGTCACAAACTCCCAGATGAAGTCACCCTGACGCCATGGAGGGAAGGTAAACAGGTCGTATGGGACTACACATGTGCGTCTACATTGGCTGATACCTATCTACCTCACAGTACTACTGAGGGAGGCGGGGCGGCCATCTTCAGGGAGACCCAGAAAACTAATAAGTACGATCTAGAACGTTGTTACAGGTTCGGGACACTAAGCTCTGAGACCCTAGGCGTCTGGGGTAAATATGCACTTAAGTTCCTAAAGGAGGTGGGTGAGGAACTCATTAGGAAAACTAAAGACTCAAGAGCGTCCAGTTTCCTGTTCCAGCGCCTCAGTGTCGCGATCCAGAGAGGAAATGCGTGCTGTATCTTGGGCACGCACCTAACCTCCGAAGAGCTGGATGATTGGATCACTTCGAACAGTGATTGTTATATGTGTGTGTGTGTGTTTTCTTTACACTCTAACTGTATATATATATATATATATATATATATATATATATATATATATATATATATATATATATATATATATATATATATATATATGCGGAAAATCCACAGAGAAATATGAAATGAGGTGAACGTTTCGGCTTTGTTAAAGCCTATGTCAACTCCAGACTGTCTGTCAGTCTGGTGTTGACATAGGCTTTAACAAAGCCGAAACGTTCACCTCATTTCATATTTCTCTGTGGATTTTCCGCATAAAATGATCAGTGTTTTGTGATCGTCAATTGCATATATATATATATATATATATATATATATATATATATATATATATATATATATATATATATATATATATATATATATATATATATATATATATAAACCACACACGAACGATAGAAGCGCACTGCAGAAGTCAAGCCAGGGACCCAAACAGGTCCCCTGGATATAATGATACAGGCTTCTGATGAAGCCTAGTTTACTGCGCCTCATAGCGCTTGACTCTCCTCTCGGCTCTTATATTTCTGTGCTTTTGTTTATATATACAAGAGTTCTTACGTTCTTGTACAGCCACTAGCACGCATAGCTATCTTCTTGAGGTTATCTTGAGATGATTTCGGGGCTTTAGTGTCCCCGCGGCCCGGTCCTCGACCAGGCCTCCACCCCCCAGGAAGCAGCCCGTGACAGCTGACTAACTCCCAGGTACCTATTTAGTGCTAGGTAACAGGGGGCATTCAGGGTGAAAGAAACTTTGCCCATTTGTTTCTGCCTCGTGCGGGAATCGAACCCGCGCCACAGAATCACGAGTCCTGCGCGCTATCCACCAGGCTACGAGGACCCTAATGGGCTAGTGGGCAAGTCCTTAATCCTAATAATCCCAGGAACACGACCCGTCAAATCGTTTAACAACCAGGTACCCATTTTACTGTTGGGTAAACAGAGGCTACAGTTAAGGATTGGCGTGCAGCAAATCCTCCCCGGCCAGGATATGAACCCAGGCCAAAGCACTCGCGAAACACCAAGCGAGTGTCTTACCACTACACCACGGTGACTGCTTATCGCTTCTCTCTACTACCTTTATCCAACCTGACATCCTAATATGATAGCACTTATCGCAACTATTGGTGGAATGTACAAACCTATACCATTGCACCAAAAAAAAACTTTATAAGTTTTGTAGTGGACTAAAAAAACTGCAACAACTAAACATTAACTTTTTTTTAGGCCAAGTAAACCACATATTTGTATTGCACTAGAATAAAGATAGCGCTAATGGGCCTAGGATTGCTTATTTAGGCCTAAAGGATTGCTTATTTAGGCCTAAAACAGGTTAGGCTTATAGTTTATTCCACTTTTTGTCGCGCCTTTGGAATATTCCAATAGAACATGATTTATAGCTTTTTGGGTACTGTTTTCACCAGCTTCAAGTCAGCCCATTGTTTTCAGGATTCCATTCTGAACGATAACAAATAGAAAGAACAGAGGTGACATGATCGAGACATACAAAATCATTAGTAACATGTAGAGAACAGGTTATTATAACTTAACTAACACTCTATAAACAAACCACACACATGAAAAGAAAGGAGTGACGACGTTTTGCTGCGTCCTGGACCTTAATCGTAAAAAAATCGCTATAAATATTGAGAGGGAAGGGAAGGGAATTGTCGGGAAAGCGCCAAGCCATGACGACTATGTAGCACTGTGAAGGGATCAGGATTAGGATTTAGGATGGGACGGGGAGGGAAGGAATGGTGTCCAATCACGTGGACGGTCGGGGATTGAACACCGACCTGCATGAAGCATATTGAGAGAATTTAACATGAATGGTAAGAAAACGAGGCAATAAGAATGGAAGCTGTATTTCCTGATGAAACAGAAGCATCAAAATAAATATTTCTTCAGCGTGAGAGTGGTGATCAAGAGAAATTGAAATCTGCCCGCAACGCTTTGCGTAATAGTGGCTTTAGGCACTGTATGTACTAGCTCTATCTATAAAGCCAACAAACTTTGTAAAATCTCCTTATGTATGTACCTTTGCCTAAATAAAAATTATTATTATTATTATTATTATAAATGATGTAAAAGTAGTTGAGAATAAACGAACAAATTACACACAGAAATTACAATAGCGTGATGCATCAAATGAACAAACACTAGAATGTGAAGGGACGACGACGTTTCGGTCCGTCCTGGATCATTCTCAAGTCGACCATTCACAATCGACTTGAGAATGGTCCAGGACGGACCGAAACGTCGTTGTCCCTTCACATTCAGGTGTGTGGTCTGGTCATCATATTTTAGCCACGTTATTGTGACTCATCGCCTGCAAATGAACAAATCCACAAGGGCCGTGACGAGGATTCGAACCTACGTCTGAGAGCATCTAAGACGCTGCCTTACGTACCTTTAATCAATATATACAAGAAACCAGAGGGCAGTCAATCATTGTATTAGGAATCCATAAGCGTTACTGACGTGTCCCGGGAGCTAAAGCTTCTTTAAGTCCAGCTAGGTAAGTACAAACAAGTAGCTTACTTCTTTCTGTCTGGCGCAAGGTTGTTGTTGTTGTTGTTAAAGATTTAGCTACTCAGGACGAAGTGTCCATGTAGCACGGGCTATGGTGAGCCCATAAAAACTGGCGCAAGGTGCCCAATCTCAAATATATACACCGAGAGACATACCCCGATTCTCGGTGTATATATTTACACTGAGTATTTACTTTAAGTAAATACTTAAATACTTACTTTAAGTAAATACAAACCAACCAACAAGTATACTTGTTGGTTGGTTTGTCAGTAAACTATTGAGGTGGACTTTGAAGTTGATAAGCCATAAGGACCAGGAGCCAGATTCACGAAAGCACTTATGCAAACACTTACGAACCTGTACATCTTTTCTCAATCTTTGGCGGCTTTGTTTTCAATTATTAAACTGTTCATGAGCTCCAAAGCACCAGGAGGCTGTTTATAACAATAACAACAGTTGAATGGAAAGTTTTCATGCTTGTAAACTGTTTAATAAATGTAACCAAAGCCGTCAAAGATTGAGGACAGATGTACACGTTCGTAAGTGCTTGCGTAAGTGCTTTCGTGAATCTGGCCCCAGAGGTTGATAAGCCATAAGCCCAAAACCTAACCAAAAACTTTTGTACTTGATGAAAATACAATTTAATCAATCATTTTCATCATAGTTACACGTCCATAACTAAATTGATTGTTAAAATTTAAGCACACTCATTTATTCAAGACAAGAGTAATAGTAATAAGTCTCATGCTAATAACTATAACTGACATTATATATCATTAAATACGGAAAAGCACATTATGACAAGATACTGAGTAAATAAAAGACAATGATAATGCAAACGAGAGTAATTGTTTCACTTCTAACTACGCTAATATATACATTATAGTCAGTAGATATATAACTACTGATTAAGTTACCATATATAGCCAGACTATATAAGGTAAGGGGCTATATATATAAGACGAGGCTATATACATAAATTTTGTCAAACAAAACAAAATTTTAAACAATTTAGAAAATGAGTCAAAATCTAAATGTATAATAAATGTAATGACATTTAAATAGTCACACCTACCCATGGTCTAATACCTCCCTCCACCCTCTTGCAAGCCATCGTTACTGTTATCAATTAACTACATCTTCTAACCTTTCTTAATTCTTTGATATTTATTCTAACCAGTTGCCTAGGAGACTATGCCAAAAACTTAAGTTATTATGTCGGTTAGATTAAATTATACATATTCTTTTCAGTTCCCTTTGCAACACCTTATCAAATGCTTTACAAATATGCGTTGGAGATTTTGCAACCGAATCACAAGCAGCCCAGCTGGTGTGGGTGACGTTGCCGTAGTCCTACCAAGGCCAGCTGGCTGAGGCTCTGTGATGTGCAGCCGACATCTTCATTTAGGTGATTTCGTGATCTCTTTTGCTTGTGACTTCTCTAAAGATGTGTCTGAGAGAGAGAGAGAGATTCACTTTTGAATTTTCCGGTGTTTGTGACTTGAATTCAATACTTTCCTTCTGCAGTCATAACCATTGTGGATCTCAAAGTCAAATTTTAAGGCTATTACTGTTCTTATCTAAATCGGCTTGTAATTACGTGACTTTCTGAATTCTTATAGTTAGGATATGCCTGAAGTCCCTTGGTATTAATGTTTGGTTTTCTTGTTGTTTTTACTACATAAAAAATGGAAGAAACCACACAAACACACACCTACGTTTCAATTCAAACCACCGAAAACTCCCCGTTGCAACACCTATTTAACTCGGTCCCTTGCTTCTCCCTCTTCCAGAACTGCTGCGACAGAGCGTGCGACAACGCTTCCATCCTCTGTTGTATGGTCTGCAACTGCACCGGCTGCCACTGTGACCTCTGCTGTCTGCTGTGCCGAATCTGTGTTGCCATATAACTGTTGCTGCTGCTGGCGGGTTCTACTGCAACTTTGGGTTCATACTGCAAGATCGCGGCGGCAATCTACCGCAAGAGTACGGCTTCCTACGGCAAGACCAAGAATGCCCACCGCGAGACCTCGGACTGTGCTGCCTGCTACAGCTTCTACCGTGTGATACATCACACCATCTCAGGTTGGCTTGGAAACAGCGAGAGAGTCGATTCTTACTGTTACTGCATTATAAAATGTCCAGTGTCATAGCGAATGCATGACAATAATAAATGAGTATGGCCACTCTTGTCATGAATTTTTTCTTTAAAGTAAATGGAAACATTTAAGCCTTAACAACAACGCTTGTAGGATTGAAATGACGTGTGTACATTTCAGAGGTGGATAGACTCTGAGAATGAAGAGAAATCGGGTTGAATGGGCAATAAAGATGAAAACAATAGACGAAAAATTAAGGTCAATAAAATAGTAATTGACATAGGAGAAATGAATCATTAAAATAGCCGAACTACGTACCTGAAATTAGCTATACTATCACACATGAAAACAAGAGATATCGGGACCAATTAAATTTAAGAAAGATCATAAACAAAATTAGATATGTATAAAAGTCAAGTGATCAGTTTTAAGTGAAAGAGAGGACGAGATCACAATGTTTTAGTGTCACTAGGCTAGAGATCCGGTTAACGCTTACCCACCAAACACACACCGAAACTACGACGTTGCTACAACGTTCGAACAAGTTTTAACACCTAACCAGTTATAACAACCAATATATCAAGTTCTAACAACGTTCTAATACGTCATAAACACGTTAAGCCAAGATGTAACAACTTTATTACAAGTTGTAACAAGCGGAAAATAGAGACAGTTTCGGTTTGTGTTTCCAGGGTTGCAGCGCTCGTCACCTCAGTATGGGTTTGTCTGCCGTTTTGGAGTTCTGATTATACAAAAATCATTCAATTTGATTCTTTGGCGTCCTGGGGCCAGATTCACGAAGCAGTTACGCAAGTACTTATGAACCTGTACATCTTTTCTCAATCTTTCGCGGCATTGTTTACAATTATTAAACAGTTAATGAGCTCCGAAGCACCAGGAGGCTGTTTATAACAATAACAACAGTTGATTGGGATGTTTTCATGCATGTAAACTGTTTAATATATGTAACCAAAGCCGTCAAAGATTGATGAAAGATGTACACGTTCGTAAGTACTTGCGTAACTGCTTCGTGAATCTGGCCCCTGGGTATACAAAAATCATCCACGTTGATTCTTTGGAGTTCTGGGTATTTAGCAATCATCAAAACTGTTTCTTAGGAATCCTAAGTATTCAATAACCAAAGCTACTTTTATCACTTTTAATGCAAACTCTATGCAATTCTCGCATATTTATGGTAATATCGTTTGTTTTTTATGTAAATAAAACCTAGGATAAGTTTTGTTATGATGGCATTTTTGGATTGCCCGAATTTAGGCTATGCTCGTCTTTTTAAAAAATGCATTTAAAAACCACTAATCCTGTATATACAACATTAATCAAAACATTTGTATTAGAATTAACAGAACTATTAAGTAAAATACAGACGACGAGTCACAATAACGTGGCCGAAGAAATGATGACCAAATTACAGAAATTGGAGAAGCTACGACGTTTCGGTCCGTTCCTGAACCATAACGCGACTTTATAATGGTCTAGAACGGACCGAAACGTCCTCTCTTCTCCAACTTCTGAGTTGTGGTTTGGTTATCGCGTAAAATATAGCTATGGGATATGAAATAAGTTTCATGAGATATACACACAAAGGGGTGAGGTAGCTCAAGCTATCATCCCTCACCCCGTTCAATACAACGGGTGAGAATAGCTTGGCAACTGTATTGTTTTTATTAAATGCTATGTAATAAAATTGTACTATGTTTATGGCTTGAGAGCCAGATATTTTTTATAGTAAAATCAAAATTGTGTACATTAAGGGCGCTTTTTCCTGAACCATTTGCAGTTACGTTGTAATTAATTACAAATAAAAGCCATCGGGCCCATCTAAGGCATCGGAGGAAATTCACATTAAATGTATTTTAAGAGTGATCAGGGTTACACACAAATGATGTATCTCCACCCAATAGAAAGAACAAGTTAACACAGCTTTTACAGCAAATATGAAAAAGTTATATAACACACACACACACACACACACACACACACACACACACACACACACACACCAAAGAGCCAAAGCTCAACCCCCGCAAGCACAAATAGGTGAGTACACACACAGAGTCGACCAAAGAGCCAGAGCTCAACCCCCGCAAGCACAACTAGGTGAGTACACACACACACACACACACACACACACACACACACACACACACACACACACACACACACACACACACACACACATACACACACACACATACACACACACCAGAAAGCAGAGAGAGATACCAGAGAACCAGGAATGAGTACGTCAGGGTGAGAAGAGAAGCAGAGAAAAATTTTGAAAATATAGCAATCAAAGCCAAGACCGAACCAAAGCTACTCCACAGTCACATCAGAAGGAAAACAACAGTGAAAGAACAGGTATTGAAACTTAGAACAGGCGAGGACAGGTATACAGAGAATGACAGAGAGGTGTGTGAGGAACTCAACAAGAGGTTCCAGGAGGTCTTCACAATAGAACAGGGTGAGGTCACTGTGCTAGGAGAAAGGGAGGTAAACCAGGCGGCCTTGGAGGAGTTCGAAATTACGAGAGAGGAGGTCAAGAGACACCTGCTGGATCTGGATGTTAGAAAGGCTGTTGGTCCAGATGGGATCTCACCATGGGTACTGAAAGAGTGTGCAGAGGCACTTTGCCTGCCACTCTCCATAGTGTATAGTAAGTCACTAGAGACGGGAGACCTACCAGAAATATGGAAGACGGCGAATGTGGTCCCAATATACAAAAAGGGCGACAGACAAGAGGCACTGAACTACAGGCCAGTGTCCTTGACTTGTATACCATGCAAGGTGATGGAGAAGATCGTGAGAAAAAACCTGGTAACACATCTGGAGAGAAGGGACTTCGTGACAAATCGCCAACATGGATTCAGGGAGGGTAAATCTTGCCTTACAGGCTTGATAGAATTCTACGATCAGGTGACACAGATTAAGCAAGAAAGAGAGGGCTGGGCGGACTGCATTTTCTTGGATTGTCGGAAAGCCTTTGACACAGTACCGCATAAGAGGCTGGTACATAAGCTGGAGAGACAGGCAGGTGTAGCTGGTAAGGTGCTCCAGTGGATAAGGGAGTATCTAAGCAATAGGAAGCAGAGAGTTACGGTGAGGGGTGAGACCTCCGATTGGCGTGAAGTCACCAGTGGAGTCCCACAGGGCTCTGTACTCGGTCCTATCTTGTTTCTGATATATGTTAATGATCTCCCGGAGGGTATCGATTCATTTCTCTCAATGTTTGCGGACGATGCTAAAATTATGAGAAGGATTAAAACAGAAGAGGACTGTTTGAGGCTTCAAGAAGACCTAGACAAGCTGAAGGAATGGTCGAACAAATGGTTGTTAGAGTTTAACCCAACCAAATGTAATGTAATGAAGATAGGTGTAGGGAGCAGGAGGCCAGATACAAGGTATCATCTGGGAGAGGAAATTCTTCAGGAGTCAGAGAAGGAAAAAGACTTGGGGTTGATATCACGCCAGACCTGTCTCCTGCAGCACATATCAAGCGGATAACATCAGCGGCATATGCCAGGCTGGCCAACATACGAACGGCATTCAGAAACTTGTGTAAAGAATCATTCAGAACTTTGTATACCACATATGTCAGGCCAATCCTGGAGTATGCAGCCCCAGCATGGAGTCCATATCTAGTCAAGGATAAGACTAAACTGGAAAAGGTTCAAAGGTTTGCCACCAGACTAGTACCCGAGCTGAGAGGTATGAGCTACGAGGAGAGACTACGGGAATTAAACCTCACTTCGCTGGAAGACAGAAGAGTTAGGGGGGACATGATCACCACATTCAAGATTCTGAAGGGGATTGATAGGGTAGATAAAGACAGTCTATTTAACACAAGGGGAACACGCACAAGGGAACACAGGTGGAAACTGAGTGCCCAAATGAGCCACAGAGATATTAGAAAGAACTTTTTTAGTGTCAGAGTGGTTGACAAATGGAATGCATTAGGAAGTGATGTGGTGGAGGCTGACTCCATACACAGTTTCAAGTGTAGATATGACAGAGCCCGATAGGCTCATGAATCTGTACACCTGTTGATTGACGGTTGAGAGGCGGGACCAAAGAGCCAGAGCTCAACCCCCGCAAACACAACTAGGTGAGTACAACTAGGTGAGTACACACACACACACACACACACACAGCAGTTCCAAAGCGTTATTCGACAAGGAGTACTGGGAAGACGGGACACCACAGGCGCAGCTCTCATCCTGTAACTACACTTAGGTAATTACACACACACACACACACACACACACACACACACACACACACACAGTAGTAGGACGGCGGTCAGTGAACAAGGGTAGGACGTGCAGTCCGCGAATTACCTCAATATTCTCGGGATATTTACGTACCAGTGAGCCCAAAACATAGTTTTTGGGCATATGAAAGGTACAGCAACGCAGTGATAACGCAACATAGTGAATTCTTATAACGTTTGATAAGAAAAAAAATTGAAAAAGAACGAGATTGTGGCAAGACGGTGGCACCAGAGGCCGCGAAGGGAAGAGTTTTGGACCACGACGTGGGAGGACCTCTGGCGGGGACGTCAACAACAATATCGGACATCGCTTCATAAATCACCTAATTGTGCTGTGGGATGCTTACTCGGAGGTGAGTGCCTCTCAAAGTCAGTCATATAAGGTGTACAGTGTTTTTTTTTTTTTTTTTATATAGTAATTAGCTTTGAACATAAGTAATTAAAATACGAAAAAGTAGCTCAAGAGCCTCAGCTTGGTACCAGCTTCTCACACCTGTGTGTGACATTACACCGCCACTGACTAGACCTACCCCCCCCCCCCCCTCCTCCTCACCACAACAAGCCAGTGTAAACACACACACATGCACGCACGCACACACTGGTGACCGCTCACCCTCACTCACCCACCCTCACCCCTCACGTTCCCACGCCTTACAGTACCCCAAGACACCCCCCTACCCCTCCCCCTATACACAAACACCCCCGCACTCAACACACACACACACACACACACACACACACACACACACACACACACACACACACACACACACACACACACACACACACACACACACACACACACACACACACACACACACACACACACACACCACACACACGCACGCACACACACACACACGCACACACACACAATCTCTCTCTGTACCCTCCCGCACTAACCCACCCCCACACACCCTCTCCATCCCCCTCCCTCACTTCCACCTTCCACCTCTCCCCATATACTCACACACTCCTCTCTCTCTCTCTCTCTCTCTCTCTCTCTCTCTCCCCCCCCTCTCTCTCTCCCCCCCTCTCTCTCTCTCTCTCTCTCTCTCTCTCTCTCTCTCTCTCTCTCTCTCTCTCTCTCTCTCTCTCTCTCTCTCTCTCTCTCTCTCTCCTCTCTCTCTCTCTCTCTCTCTCTCTCTCTCTCTCTCTCTCTCTCTCTCTCTCCTCTCTCTCTCTCCCTCTCTCTCCCTCCTCTCTCCTCTCTCTCTCTCTCTCTCTCTCTCTCTCTCTCTCTCCCCCTCTCTCCCCTCTCTCTCCCTCTCTCTCTCTCCCCCTCTCTCTCCTCTCCCCCTCTCTCTCCCTCTCCCCCCTCCTCTCTCCCTCTCTCCCCCTCTCTCTCCTCTCCCCCTCTCTCTCTCCTCCCCCCTCCCTCTCTCTCTCTCTCCCCCTCTCCCTCCCTCTCCCTCCCCCTCCTCTCTCTCCCCTCCCCCTCTCTCCCTCTCCCCTCTCTCTCCCCTCTCTCCCCCCCCCCCCCTCTCTCTCCTCCCCCTCCCCCCTCTCTCTCCCCCCCCCCCCTCTCTCTCTCCCCCCTCCCCCTCTCTCTCTCTCC